CACGCGTCGATGATGCGGTTTTTTAAGTCCTCCACATCGCGAACAGGAGTACGATAAACCAAATGCTGTGAATGACCCCAAATAAAGAAATCGATAGGATTGAGATCCGGGGATCGAGCGGGCCAGTTCTGTGGTTCTCCTCGACCTATCCACTGATTTGCATCAGTTAAATGCTGACGTGCTACTTGACTAGAATGGGCGGGAACCCCATCATGCATAAAAAACATATCCCTTCTGACGCCCAAAGGAACTTCCTCCAGCAGTACTGGATACACTTCTTTCAAAAATTGAACGTATGCCTCACCATTCAATCGAGGAGGTAGATGAGGCCCAATTAAATCATTTCCAATAACTCCGAGCCACACGTTAATAGAAAACTGTTCTTGTTCGACAATAGCGTGAGGGTTTTCATCAGCCCACATGTGGTAATTATGGAAATTAATAATCTTGTCCCGAAGAAAACTACATTCGTCTGTGAATTCTATCGTCTTCAGAAAGTCACAATTTCTTCTAATCATTTCCAGCATCCAATTGCAAAGTTTGAGACGGTTCGGAAAGTCTCGCGGTAACAGTTCCTGTACTCGTTGCAGATGGTAACGATATAAGAGCTGTTCCTTTAAAATTCGAAATACCGTAATATGATTAACATTTAGCTGGGAAGCAATCTTTCTAGTACTGGTAGTAGGTTGTTCTTCAATCAAATTAAGTACTGCTTCCTCAAGCTGTGGTGTTCTTACTTCTCGATGGCGACCACAATCCTGCGTTCTTTTGTCGAATGAACCATATTCTCGTAATCGTTAATGAAGTCGAGCAAATATTCTATGTGAAGGATGCTGCCGTTGAGGATACATTTCAGCATATCTTCTAGAAGTTTCTAACCCATTCCCCTGCGACAGACCGTAAACGTAATGCATATCAGCCATTTCCTCATTTGTGTATGCCATTTTAATAACAAGTGAATTATTAAAGTAACAAATTGAGAACAGAACAACAACACACAATTAATATCAATTCAATTTCGAAAATTCACAAATTGACAGCGTCATACCAATTTAATTGTCACTATCGCTAATAGCGACCTACTAGATAGATTGGTTTCGTATTTTCGCATTTATGACGATCTATCTCCGTGATTGTTCGTAAAATAATTTTTTTGCTGCGAACTGGTTCATTTTGGGCAAAAAAAACAAGAGACATTTTTTGTTTAGAAGGAAGCAGGCTATCGGAAATAAATTTTTAAATAGTAAACAAATAATAAGACAAAAAGTTACATTGGATAATTTTATGTACCCCCTTTAAGAGGCTGTATCTTAACAAGGGATGCTCCAATAAAGTTTCTTTATATGAAAGATCCTTATCCTTTTTTTTTTCGATGAGGAATAACCTCCTTGAATGTTTTACACTTATTTAGTTACACCCTGTATAATCGAACACGGAGAAAATTAATATCCATCTAATATTCTCTCGTTATTTAAGAAATAATCCGAAAACCTTCGACCGGCAGTCATATATATTTGGGTCATATTAAAGGCTAATATTCAATTCCGGATAAAAACCGTTTCCCTTTGAACTAATTAGAAAGTTCAGTGTTCTCGGATTACTGACATTTCGTTGTTGTTTTCAGCACTGCTAATTCTCCTGTTCCATTATGGTCTTTCGGAAGTTATAGTCGAGGAATTTATCCTTATTTCGTACCAGACATGTGGGTCCACTTACCAAAAAGAATTTATGTATGAAATGTAAATATATTTCAAAAAAGAATGATAACTTATGATACATCATTGAAAAAGTGAAATCTGGTTCTATTCAAAACAGAAAGGTTTCAATGTAGCGCCCATAATAAAAAATATAGTTGATAATGGTAGCCGGAAGACGAAACGTTGGATAGCAAATCTGAAAATACCATTATGTAGCAGGGAAAGAGTGGTAACGTGGAAGTGCAATTTATTTTCGAATCCTTCGAAAAATGAAGCCAGAAAAAAATAAAAACCATTTTCCGAAATTTCTGTTTTTCCGGATATACTCGAAATTTCAGAACTTTCTCAACAGCATATTGTTAAACCAGGTAAATTCTCAACTTTGTCCCAATTCAACAATCTACTTATCTCTCATAGTTTCCGAGATCCCAATGGTGAGGATTGAATTTGAAACACCCTGTATAGCTTGTTGAAATAATATTTTCAGTTATCAGATACCCGACTAGTAGATAAGGCAACATTTTAAAATTAATTCTGGGACAATTAAAATGCAGGTACCTAGAAGAGGTATCTATGGTATAAATAAGGATAACATTTTAAGTATGTTTAGTTTGATCTTCCTCTTGAAGATGATCACTTGGTAATCGAAACACGTGTCGAGGTGTTAAAATAACGGTTTGGTGTTGAGATAAAACTTCAATAATATTCATACTCGATACTGTTGAGTTGTAGTAATTTTTTCAACCAACATCAATACCTACGTTTTTTCAGCGTATAATAATTTTCATGTTTTCATTCGTAGTTGATATTCTCTCTTTCTTCCTTCAAAACTCGTTTGATATTTCAATAAGGAACTCTGAGTGAATTTTGATTCAAAGTACAATAATATTCATGGCTCACAAGAAGTTACAACATGAATTATTCACGATACTCGTTATAAAACACCTCCGTTACAACAGGAAAATGAAATTTCTTTCGTCTACAAGTTGCATACTTGAAATTTTCATCATCTTAATGTGCTAATGACATTGAAAAGCCTAATTTGCATGGAATCTGCGTTTCTCCGAATTCGATGTATCGAAATTGTTGACTCAGATTTTGTCACATCAAATATACAGTGTGTATCAGTTTCCATAGAACCATTTCTGGATTTTCATATCTTTCAACTTTGGAGAAATGATGGATATGCCAAAATACTACGTTCTGGTATACTTGAACCAAATATACAGGGCGGCAAATTTAGATGTGCCTTTGGAATGAGCGAACGATAAAGAGAGATGGTAACTGTCCACTAGTCCACTAGTCGGGAAAATAATTTTGGCTTGAATAAATTTGGCAAGTGTTAACCAGTTGGAAAAAGAAACCCCAATTCTTTCTTTTGTGTGGGTGGAAAATAATCGAAAGATGATGAGTGATATATAATTGCGCATAAAAGATACCGTACATCTCGGCATCACCAGGAGAACGACGTATTGAAACGAGCTTTGGTGTCAGTGGATGATCCTGCAATTCTGGAACCCAAGTACCAGTCGAGATGACGGTAAACGACCAAATGGTATCTCATACCATGCAAATACGGTAAACCTGTGGTATGGGACTTCTCTTGCGTTGACACGGTCGCGGCTTCCCATCTAGCCAAAAGTTCGAAGTCTGTTGGAACTGCAGCATTGTCTGGCAAAAAATTCAAACCTAGATTTTGGTAACAACTATCTGTTCCATCCAGTAGCGGTTGAAACTTTTGGTATTTATGGCCCGGAGTCTTTGTTATTCGTTCATGAACTCGGAAGGAGAATAGGTTAAGAAACGAAAGATTACCGTTCTACATTTCTTTTGATAGAAATAATTAGTAATTCTCTTCAACGTGGTAATGGCCCTTCAGTCCTTGGAACTATTCCTCCTTCACCTGATTTTGATGAGATCATGCATTGCCCTCATTTCAGTATGGAACTAAAATCTCTTCGAAACAAGCCGAAATATGTAGATATTCATCAGTCTCCTATCAAGGTTAATTCACAAGTGAATGATCCACCTCCTTCTTTTTCGGTGCGGTCAATGGACTTAGGTCATTCTTGTTCCCCAAATATGAGCTGCAGTTCTCGTGGTTCTGGTTACCTTTCAGTGGAAGAGCTTCATGAAGCAAGCGCCGAACCGATCCCTCTACGAAATCCTTCATCATTTGGAAGGATCGATTGCAGCTTGAGAAATGGTTCTGATACAGATTCTGTGAAACATGTTTTTCCTTACGAATCAGTAGACAGTTGTCCTGAGAATATTGAGAATGAAATTGGATTAGATAATTTAGGAAACACTTGCTACATGAATAGCATTTTACAAGTGTTGATCATGACGAAAAATTTCAAGAACGAGGTTTTAATGTTCGTCTTTTGTTTGAAGATCTTTTGCTGGAAAAATCCCCAGTTGTTTACTCTGTTGTAAATGTTCAAGAGGTAGCAAATACGTATGTGATTTTCTGAAACTTCAACTAGAGTTTCCTAATATGACTGATAACCAGTCCCTGCAAAGCTTATTGTTAAATCATCTGAAAATGGAACTTTTAACGGATGATAATCCAAACATGCGCCAAAATAACTGACTATTATAAGACAATATACCAATCGAGCAACCACTTGTCCTACAGACTCGTGGAATTGTGGTATTGCTTAATAACCAAGTTTTCGTTAAAGACTGAAAATTCATGAATAAAATTTCGAGGTCTTGAGGTAATACTTTTAATCAATTCTCAAAGTTTTCATATGACGATATAGTTCAAACACAAATGTGAAAAAATGAATTTGCTCATCTGTGAGTGGAGCTATCACAGACTTTTTGTAGCCATATGAAGGAAAACAATGTTTAGTGAATTATTTCTTTTATCTCAAAGGGCTCAGACAGCGTCTTCTGTGTTATACAAAACATCAATGGGTTAAACACTCGAATATTCCATATGACAATCCTTTTGATAGTTTTCGAGTTCACTGCATGCAGACAGACAGATATAAGCAGCAGGGAGATTTTGTTTTATGTGGTGATTTGAACATTGTGATTTGGGGACGATATTCTGATAAACTATGATTCCAATAAAGAAAGTAAATGTAGACATCCCGGTGAAGAAAAGTCGAAAAATTCAACCGTTCACAGCTATAATTCGCTAGGATTTCGCAAAAGTTGTTTCCGTAATGAAATAAAGGTCAAGTAAAGAAATTGCTGACGTTAATTCCATCGCCTCTTTGGCACCTGATAGGCTTGGATACTCATGAGATCACTGAGTATTCAACTGGCAATATGATAAGATAAAACAAATCGGTACAGTTCACGTAAACTGTGATAACGATATGAACATGATAGATATCGTCTATTCAGTGTAGTGTTTTTGTATGGATATGCACCCTTGAAGGTTTCTCCAATGGCCAGGTACGAACTTCTTGAATTTTTTCCTCAACAGAAATTCTCAGTAAAAACAGATTGTTTTGAATAGTTGTTCTGTGAAATATTTTGAATTGTTTTTGGAAAAGACAGTAGGGAAACAGCTATTTTCCCAGCTAGTTTCCCCAGCAGTTATTTTCCTGCAGGCATTTGCCAGACCCTACTAAAAACCTTGGTAGAGGTGAATGTATTTTTTTTTCGTAATTTTTCACCATATGTCTGTATTTCTCCTCGATAGTTATTAGACTTTTTAACGACAAAACACAAGCACTACAGGAAAATTCCTAACGGGCTCTAAGAGCGGTGCCTGTGCACCTGGTGGTATCATGATCAGTGCCAGATCGTTATGTAATACTGCTAAGAATGAAATTTACAAGTTTCTACTAGCTATTGATATTGATGCCACAGAAAAATTGGCGCACCTTTACTTTATCTATTTATTCATCGAAACAGACGAATCAGTCTAATTACATGGATATAACAGGAATAAAATATATGATTTCAGTTTGAAACATAATGATAATAACAATATAATGTATTCATAACCGTAACTGTCAATATATAAGAACCGCAGAGAGAAATTAGGCAGAAATATCAATTGAATTATTTAATATTATTAGACAAAAACTGTTTTGAGATGAAGTCCAATCTAATGGATATAATATGGATAACATGGATATAACATATACCTATAACATGGATAACACGGATATAACATGGATGCAACAGGAATAAAATATATGAAACATAATGATAATAACAATACAATGCATCAATGACCGTAAGTGTCGAAATTTAAGAGCCACAGGAAAAAATTGAACAGAAATATCAATGGAATTATTCAATATTATTTGACAAAAACCGTTTTGAGATAAAGTCCAATCCGATGAATATATGGATATAACAGGATATATCAGAATGTAACATGGATAAAACATATATAACATGGTTAACATGGATATAACATGGATGTAACAGGAATGAAATATATGATTTCAGTTTTAAACATAATGATAATAACAATACAATGCGTTCATAACCGTAACTGTCGAAATATAAAAGCCACAGGGAAGAATTGAACAGAAATATCAATGGAATTATAATGAGATAAAGTTCAATCCAATGACGATAGTCGTGTCACGAAATCATCTGGCAATGTATTGAATCTATTGGAGTCTATGGAGTCACCCTACATTTTGTTTCATGAGAGAGAGGACATTGGCAGATCAAGATCTCCAAATGATGTGGTGCTGCAGGTTTTTCCGGATTTTCCTGCAGCTGAAAAAGCAAATGCGCCACTGTAATCAATGAAGTCGCCCCGAAGCGCCAATTAATTTATTTGCTGTTTTCATTTTTAGCTGGAAATTGAAAAATGTGTTTTCAATAAATATATGCATATAACAGGATATATCAGAATATAACATGGTTATAATATGGAGATAACATGAATATAACATGGACATGAAAGAAATAAATTATATGATTTCGGTTTGAAACATAATGATAATGTATTCATAACCATAACTGTCAATATGTGAAATCCGCAAGGAGAAGTTAGACCAAAATATCAATTGAATTATTTATTATAATTTGACAAAAACTGTTTTGAGATAAATTCAAATCCAATGAATATATGAATATAACAGGATATAGCAGAATATAACATGAATATAACATTGATTACATGGATATAACATGGATGAAACAGTAATGAAATATAAGATTTCGGTTCAAAACATAATAATAATGTACTCATAAACATAATTATCAATATACAGGGTGTCCCTGGACTTCCTCTTTTCCTCTCGGGAATGTATAGATGGGGTCAAAATATCACCAGTACTTCATATAACTTTTTNGACATAAACTGTTTTGTTCAATAATGAATATATGGATATAACAAGATATAGCAGAATATAACATGGATATAATATGGAGATAACATGGATATAACAGAAATGAAATATATGATTTCGGTTTAAAACATAATGATAATGTATTGATAACCATAATTGTCAATATATAAGAGCCGCAGGGAGAAGTTAGACTGAAATATCAATTGAATTACTTAATATTATTTGACAAAACCTGTTTTGAGATAAAGTCCAAGACAGTGAAGTCGAGACATCAATTTAATAGCCAATGGAGGTAAGTATACAAGAGAAGATCTACATCCATATTTCTAAAGGGTGGTTTAATTCAAATAACGGGTAGTTAAATTATTTGCAGCCAACAATATTCCACCCATGTGTCAATAGTTGCACTATAGCGTTGTCAAAAATAATTGATGACTTTCCCAAAGCATGTCACCATTTTGAATCGAATATGGCTGACATTATGTTAATGGTGTATATGCGGAAACAGAAGATAGGTTAGAATGTATAAACTAAAAAGCATGCAATTGAAAAATTATGAAGAAATATTATCGAAAACACGTTTTCAGTTGATATGAAGAATATAATGAAGTGAGTTCTGCTTAGAATAGAGAAATAAATTACTGGATAGTTGTCTTTGTTTTTCCTCACTGGTAATACCTAGGAAGCTAAAATTTTGTATGCAGGTGCTTCTTAGGTTTTAGATGCGTACTAATCAAGGAATCTCAAATACCACTATATTTTTGGAGTCTAAAATGTTTAATGTAGGTTCGTTTCACATTGTAGATGTACAATTAGAATTTTTTTTTAAATATTCTAACTGGTCTTTTTCTTGATCGATAGATAATAACCCAACTCACACAAATTATATTTTCTTTCAGCTGGAATGTTCAATCCAACATGGCTGATTCTTTCAAATCGGAGATGCATTCTTCAAGATGCTTTTTATGTGAGAAGTATCTGTCAGTACCTCCAATTATGATCATCAGCAGTGATGGAGAGGAACAGAAATGTGGACGTTGTAGAGAGATAAAAACAGAAATAAATGTTAGAAATACGTTCTATGAGAAAATGGCGCGTATAACTGAATACCCATGTATTTATGAAGATTGTGAAGAGAAACTTTGTTGGGGAGAAGTGGAAAGTCATGAAGAAGTGTGTCTACACAGAACTATGAATTGTCCAATGTTCGAGGAATGTGATGAAACTATAAAAATTTCAGATTTAGAAAGCCATTTCGACAGTGAACATTCCGGTGATTTGTACTATGAAACATATGACGTTATGGGGGATATTTTCTCAGAGATGATGACCATCTTGTTACTATCGCATGGTAAACCATATCTCATAAAAAGTGGTGTTACTGAAGATAACTATTCATGTCAAGTGTTTGCTTTGCATCCGGATGGAAATCGTAAATATGAACTCAAAATATTTTCCGAAGTTTCAGAGAACTTCAAGTTACTCTTCGAAGGTGAAACCATTTTCTTTAAAGAAAATGAACATTGCTTCAAATGTGCTGCAAGAGAATGTCAAGAAAGAAGCCACTGGAATTCTACTCTGTATCAAAACAGTCCACCCATCAGTCATAATGTCGCCCTCATCGATATAAACGTAATTAAATTTGCCTTGAAATCACCGGACTTTCACACAACATTTATCGTAAAAAATGATAATATTTCGAGTTCTGACGATTCAAAAGTTTCCAAAAACTTTTTATCGAATAATAATACTGTCTTGATCGACAGGATTCTCCAATGTCCTGTGTGTGAAGAAACTATGTCATCCCCAATTCATATCTGCCCAACTGGTCACTCACTCTGCAACAATTGCAAGTCTAGACTGGACAGTTGCCCGACTTGCAAGGATCCCTTTGGTGATACTAGGAATTTTTCCTTAGAAGATCTAGCGGATAATGCAGAACTTCCTTGCCAGAATGAAAACGAAGGGTGTAATTTTTTTGGAAACGTAGAAGTCCTTGGACGGCATCAGGTAGACTGTGAGAGGTGAACATTTAACGGAAATTGTGATGATTGATTTCCATATGCCATCTTTCAGTGGCATATAAATATATATTACGAAATTTGAGACATTTACCAAGTTGCGATATTTAAAATATCATCAGTTTCGAAGATTGAGAACTGTTTTTCTCTGTAGCAACCTTCTGTTTGATTAGCGCTAGAGTGTTTTTATAGACTATCAATAACATCAAATTGAAGTTGATAACAAATCATCTAATAAAATTGAGAAGAACCAATACTGTATTGTTGTTAACGTCACATGATCAAAGTAATATTCCAAGTGTATTGAAAGCAGTCATACATACTAGCTAGGCTGAAAAGTCCCGAGCCCAACACACAGATGGTGCTAGTCTTGTTGCATTCATCGCTTTTTCAGTTCTCACATTGAACTTCGAATTGCTCCCACATCCACCGTATTCGCCAGATTTGGCTCCCAGTGACTACTGGCTCTTAGCAGACCCCAAAAATGCTCATAGGTGAGAAATTCCTTTCGAATGAAGAGTTTCGCAGAAGTGGCATTAAAATTTAAGAGCGGCGCGCCAATTTTGAATAAAAAAAGCCTTTTTTTCTGAGACCAGGGACTTTCCAGCCTATGTTGATAATTTTGTAGAGGAAAACCAACATGCAAAGGGTAGACCTATTTTCCAAACACCTATTTTTACAATTGGTTCCACTTATGTTTCACTTGCGTTTACGCAGCTATTTTTATCAAGTACTTTCTTGGTTTTTCCCATTTTGTCTTCAATCGAGGACCACCTGCCCGGTACTGACGATGCCCAATAGGCTGAAACAGCTGTCTACCGGTGGATCTTGAATTGAAATCAATATGAGAATGATCAAAAAGTACTTATCTATTTATTTTTTGATTTTCATGGAATTATTTTCCAGCAGCTTGACTGCATTAACCTTTCTACATTTCATATCATTTCTAGAAACATGTGGATTCGTTTTCCGATGGCATTTCAGGTTAGCTTTAATATAAATAGGCATATAAATCCAAACATAGAAAAGCCGAAAAGTCAAATGCAAATTTGACGTTGAAATTTTGTCACAGCACCAGAGAAAATGTGATTTCAAGATATTTGCAAATACAGTGAGATTTTAATGATGTAAAATAACAAAATGCGCTTCACTGAGAAGCAACGGCTATATGAATCAAAGAAGAAGAATACTTCAGGGTGTCGGCCTGACGCGCCATGAGAAGTATACTTTAAAAAATCTATGTATAAGTAGTCTCATTATCGTGCAGGTCATTTTCTGTAATTTAGGTTCATTAATAAGCCGATGATCATCTGAATTGGGTGAAAACGTCATCATTTTTATTTTTCTCACATTCAAACTTGGTAAATTATCAGTGAAGTGAAGATTTTTTCTCCTAATAACTTCAGAAATTTTATAGAATTCATCCAGACTTTCACCAGTGAAGATCATGGCCATATCATCGGCATAACACTATATAATAGTCAAATTTATTAGGCTGCGTTATTAGGTTTATGCAAGCAAGAAAAAGGAATAGGCCAAGTACTGTTCCCTGAGGTATACTCACATTGATTTGTAATGTTGCACTGAGCTTGCTACCAATTCTAACAGTTTGTATTCGTTCTCTCAAGTGATTCTGTATCAGTTTCAAAGCATACTACGGATACCATAAAAGACAATTTTTTGAGTTTGATTTCGTGCGACACAGTATCGAAAGCCTTTGCCAAGTCCGTAACTACCGCAAGATATTTCAAAGACTTGTTCAAGATCCCTTTTGTTTGTTCCATGAAGTTGAGCAGGGCATTTTCGGTGTTTGATTTGTCATGAACCCGAATTCTTGGTGTGTCATTGTATCATGTTCACTGAAGAAAGTTTCTTTTTCCTTTACCTGGTTGTTTCTGATAGAAAGAGAGTTAAAACATTGCGAGGCGGGTACCTCAACTTTGTAATTGGTGTTCGATAGCTCTAAATATTCAATAGCTTTGTTTTCCCTAAAATTCAGTTCAAAATACAAATATATTCATAGCAGACAAGAGAAATAGGCATGGCATGAATAATTCACGGTATCGGTCGTAAAACGAGTCAGTGGCAAAAGGAAAATAACCTTTCATTTCGATTACAAGTCGCAAATTTGCTTTTTTTCATTATAATATGGAAATGACCCCGGAAGACTGATCTGAATGTAATCTGAATTTCTACGAATTGATTGAATTGCTGTTTGTCAGTCACACCGAAAATGATTGACGAAATTCGAATTGATGTGACGAAAACTTAACTCAACTTACATGTAAAAAGATGTTAACAAGTAGTATTTTCTTGAAAGTGAAGGTACTATACAGTGTGGTTCTCTTCCTCAATTTCAACACCTGACACGTGACACTTCGACTATTATTAACGAAGAAACGGCGTCATACTTTTTCTCCAAATGCCGACATATTTTTGTTTTATCTAGGGTCGATCGGGGCTAATATGATACAAAAATATACACTTTTCACTATAATACCTAACCATATATATTAAGCCATTTTGAAAAAATACTGGGATATATAATTCGTATTGGTTAGTTTATTTATTGGTGCACAAAAAATGTAGTTGCAGTACCGATGCTGAAAAAAAAAGAACTGTGTATCATAATAACCCCACCTGGTGGGGCTGATTTGATATGATAATGGGGCTTAAGTGTTACAGCTTTGTATTTCATTCAACATCGTCATTGAACGTAAGACGAGACTGAAATGATACAGCTCTGGGACTAATACCAGTAATTTTTTTGAATTTTTGTCGTCAGCCATATAAAAGATACAACCATGTCTTGTTCATGTTTTTTCCACTGAAAAAATCTCCTTTGGAAAAAATAACTAAAGCACCATTTATTGAAAAAACTTAACATTCCATAATTTTTTTCAGTTTCTTGTATGAAATTATTGAATATCATAACATTCAAAAGTCGAGTTGAAAATCAGTTCTCCTCTCCTTCCCAAAACAGGTTCAGCAAGTTTTTCTACCACATCCTCATTTTCAATAAATGACACATCTTCCGGCTCTTTAAAAAAAAAAACTGTGGTATCTTCATGTGAATTTTACTCTTGGTTCACCAGCTTCAATATCCATAACATGACCTACGTAATGCAACACTTTCTTCTTGGATACACATTTAACTTCAACCCAGTCATTGATTCTAGGTGTAGTATGTTGGTCATGCATGTCACTACCATTGCAGTTTCCTAAAGTCTCCTCAAATTCCAAGTCTGACTCTTCTTCTCTCTGCATGGCTTGTATAATATCGGAATCACTGTTATCCTCATCTGCAAAATCGATTTCACTCGGGATGTCTGGTTCGCTGTCTGACGAAACCGTTATTTTCTTACTCTCCTTTTGTTTTCTTTGTTTTTCCTGTATTATCTGTCTCTCTTCCTTTCTTGTTATTTCGTCTTGGGTAGCATTTTCCGCTGGTTGGGTTTCATGGGTGCCTGATGTGGTTGTTTTCTTATGTTTCTTTTCCACTCCTCCCCCACTCCTCACAAAACAAAACAAGTTGAAATTCAAGGGAGTTACAAAAACTAATAAAATGCACAATTTTCAAGGTTTTGCAATATCAAGAAAGCCCCTTCAGCTGTATCACAATAGCCCCAATGTTTGTATCAAATTAACCCCCTTATTTTTAATCAAATTAGCCCCCTATATGTTACGTCATATATCTCGTGATAAGATTACCTATTTTGAAGTTTTCAAATGTAGAAATTCATTTTTCCTCTCCACCGGTTTAGAGGAAGATAACCGTTTGGCGGGAGTTGGCCATTTTTCGCTTGACTGTAGGTTCCCATATGTTCCTAGCTTGGCTAAATACATGGTTGGACAACATGTATGCAGTTCTTTTTAAATTCCTCCTGAACTGATGTTCCTCTCTGTGTATGATCTCATCTTGGGACCACTCGATGTTATGTTGATAGGTCCAAATATGCTCTTTTTTTTTATAATTTAAGTTATCCCTGATTTGCTGGTTTCCCCTCGCTGGGTGTGTTTCTTGTGCTCAGCAATGCGAACATTCAATGGCCTTTCAGTTTCACCGATATAGGATTTTTCACACTCACAAGGTATCCGGTAAATGCAATTCTTGGAATCGCAGTCCGCGTTTGGTGGCCTCGTTTTCGTGAGGCTGCTACGGATAGTGTTTCCGGATCTAAAGCAGGTTCTGATGTTGTACTTGGAACCAATTCTTCATATCCTTTCCGATAGTCCTCTGATGAACAGAAGTGCAAGCACTGGTTGTGATGTCTTCTCTTCCTTGTAGCCAAAGTCTGTTCTACCATCGCTTTGGAGTAGCCATTCCGTTGAAGATCATTTTTAATGATGTCTAATTCCTTCTCGAGACCTTCTTTCGTATTACAGAGCCCGCAAGTACGGTCTAATAGAGTCTTGATGATTCCTCTTCTAGTGGATTGATGGTGGTTGTATTCGTGGTTCAGATACTGTTCCGTGTGAGTGGGTTTCCCGTATACAGATGTTTTCCATTTAGTGTCGGTCCTCTTCACAAATACGTCTAAGAATGGCAATTCGTTGTGAACTTCCTTCTCCATTATGGAGTTCAGTATTCCCATGGTTCCACATTATGAAGGTGTCGTCAACGTATTTCAACCAGACACCAGATTTCTCGTGGGCTACTTCAATCGCCAGAGTTTCAAACCACTCCATATTGTTGGCTATGACTGGTGAAATTGGCTATGACTGGTGAAATTGGCGATTCCTTTGGCAGTTCCTCATTTTGTGTAAAGAATTCGTCCTTCAGTTGGAAATTACAGTTTCGTATACAGCATCTTACGAACAAAATGTTTCGTCAGCTTGACCTATGTAAAACATGATACCACATTCATAAACTCCTGATCCACCAGGTAGTAGGTTGAGTAGTAGCTTATATTGTGATGTATACTCGTAAAATGGTTATAAATTGAAAGTTATTCATTATGTTCCTTTTATTTTGGAAAACTATTGTATAGCGAAAAAAGTTTTGTGAACCTCCATAGTGAGAATTGTACGGCAAACTGTTTTAGTGAGTTTTATACTTGAAATAGTTTTACAGAACATTCAACAATGTTTCCACTAACTCTTTCAATCGACTTATCTCCCAGAAGACAGATACACATTATCCAATTACGCGTTTCCTGGTTATGCAAATGAATTATACTGTTGTCGCAATTTACGCTAACAAACGAATCAATTACTCGGCTCGACAATTAGTCTTACTAAGTTCCTACGACAG